TAAATAGTTGCCTCACAACCTCAATAGAAAAAACTCCCAAATTCAACATGCTACTCCCTCTTATAGTGAGTTGCTAAGTCAGTCTCATGCAATCCTACCTTGACCAATTCCACTCTAATTGGTTGCCTCTGATGTCTTGAAAAGGCTAGATAATCTAGAAAAGATGATGGTTGAACATTGAAATGTGTTACTGCCTCAACCTAGTATAAGCTTATTCCTTAACCTTTTGAACATTAATGTCATCCAAAAGCCATACCCATCTAAGTTTAAAATGCCACAACCCAAGACATATGATGGAACCAAGAACCCTGATGACCACTTGCATGATTCTACTTTTCCATGTAGGCCCAGAACATCTCGGATGCATTAATGTGCAAAGTATTTCCCTATACACTTCATGGCAATGCTCAGGCATGGTATTACAATCACCCAATGAACTCAATCAGTTTTTATGCCAAAATGGCAACTGCTTTTGCCACTAAATTTTGCAATCGGAGGTTGATAAAGAAGGCCACTTGAGCTCATGTGAATAATCTAATGAGAAATGGAGCCTCTAAAGAACTATACGAATAGATTTAACGATGCTATCCTCAAGATCATTCTTTTATTTAAGTAATCGCTGCTATAATCTAAGGCCTCAACCATGAGCAATTCTGAGATAACTTGATTAAGTATCCACCCGTTACCTTTCATGAGGTTAATGATAGATCTCAGAAATTCATCATGGCAGAGGAATATGTCTTGCCTTGCAAATCAATGCCTAATAGAGAAAATCAAAGTCCATCTTAGAAAGAGGAAGGACAAAGCAAGAAGAAGATGAAAGTTGCGCACAACCAAGGTCCTATAGCTGTCGCCAAGCTCGGCAAATCCGATTCAATAACCTTATAAGCCCTTATTGAGCCAATCACATAGACTCCTTTCACTATACTAAGGTCATAGATCTTGATGTAGATTAAGAACAAAATGGAGCTGAAAAGGCCAACTCTAATGCAGAGTTTAGCTATTACCTGAGACTATACAATATACTATGATTTTCATAAAGATCACAGCCATACAACTAAGGAGTGCAATAGCCTAAAGTTCAAGCTTGAAGGGCTAGTTCGTAAAGGAATGTTGAACAAGTATATCTTAAACAAAGACCAACCTAAATTTGTAAAAGAATAGGGACAACAACCTTAAAGACCTTGAAATGTAAACAAAAAAGATGGAATAAGGTATCAACAACCCCCACCACCCCTTCCACCTCCAACTAGGATCATTCACGTGATAACTAGTGGATTTGAAATAGGAGGATTAAGCTTTAAGTAATAGAAGTTATATGTTAGAGAGGTCAAGCATTAGAGTCGAGCTCAAACAAGGAATCCCGAAGATGCAGATTGGAAGAATCAACCTATAGCTTTTATGTCCACTGACCTCAATGGTCTTGTCATACCTCATGATGACCTGTTGGTCACCTCCATCATTGTCAATAAATGTGAGATTAAACTTGTCCTCATTGACATTAAGAGTGCACCTAATATTATGTATTACCACTACTTTGAGAGCCTTGGCTTTGATTCAGCCCTGCTACAAAAGTACGATGGGCCCACTTACGGATTTAATAATCAACCAGTCCTAGTTGAAAAGGTGCTTACACTCAATGTGGCATTTGATGTAGGTTGAACCTATGTCACCCCTTCAGTTCAGTTATTGGTAGTGAAGATGACTTCATCTTTCAACGTTGTTATTGACCGACCTACTTTAATTGAAATATGAGTTGTAATGTTAGTGTTGCAGTCACATTTGTGCTTGAAGTTTCCAACACCCATGTGGTAACAAGATTAAAGGGTAATCAAGAAATAGTTAGGCACTGTTATATGATATCAATTGTATAGCCTTAGAAGAACAAAGAAGCGAGTCAAACAGTAGAGCCTTAAGCTCCAAATAATCAGCAAGTGATAGGAGTACAGTTTATCAACAATCGACCTGAAGATAAGGTTAGAGCCATTCTGGCCAAAAAGCTAGAAAAAGTACAAATTGATGAGAAAGACCTAATGAGAAAAACTAAATCAAAACTAAGTTGAGTTTGAAGGAGAGGGAAGATCTAATTGCCTTTCTTCGAACAAGTAAAGATGTTTTTGCATGGACTTTTGCTGATATGCCGAGGATATTGACCTCACTTGGCATGCACAAGTTGAGTATTAACCTTTTAAAAAAAGCCAGTAGTTTAGAAAAGGTGCCTTTTCAAAGGCAAGAGACTTCAAGTCATCAAAAAAGAGGTGGAGAAACTCTTATGAGCTAGCTTCATCAAAAGGGTAGACTATTGTGAATGGATCACAAATTCTATTCCGGTTAAAAAATCCAATGGTAAATAGAGGATATGCATTGATTATACCGACCTTAACGCAACTTGTCCAAAAGATTGTTATCTAATGCCAAACATAAATAAGCTTATTGAAGCAACTTTGGGGAATGAGAGACTAAGTCTTCTAAATGCATATTTGGGTTATCACTAGGTTCCCATGGCTCTAATAGATGAAGTGAAGACCTCTATGTAAGAGATAAGATCTACTATTATGTGATGATGCCCTTTAAGTTGAACAATGTAGGAGCTGCCTATCAAAATATGGTGACAATACTGTTCCAAGCTCAGATAGGTAGGAACTTGGAGGTTTATGTGCACGATATTGTGGTTAAAAGTCTTAAGCCAAAGGATCACTTGGCCAATTTGCAGGAGATGTTTGATAATCTAAGGAAGAATAAAATAAGGTTGAATTTTCCAAAGTGTCTTTTAGGTGTAAAGTCAGGAAAATTCTTGGGATTTTATGGTGTTTAGGCAAGGGATAAAGGTTGATCTCAAGAAAATCAAGGCAATAAAAGATATGGAGCTTTCAAAATCAATTAGATTAAATCCCTATTTTGGTCCTGGTCTCTCTATTTTGGTAAAAAACCTTTTTTTAGTCTTTCTACTTAAAAAAGCCCTCTTTGGTCCCTAAATTTTAAAATTTGTCTCCTTTTTAGTCCCTCTGTTAAGTTTTGTATACGTGGCATATTAGATAATAGAAATTTCAAAGTAGAAGGACCAAATAATGGCTAAGAATAGCCTTAATTTGGGTTTCTTTATTTTGGAAAAAAGCTCTTTTTTGGTCCCTCTCCTTTGAAATTTTCATCATTTGATGTTAAAATTTAATGAAGGAACTAAAAAGAGGTCAGATTTCAAATTGTAGAGACTAAAAAGAGGCTTTTTTAAGTAAAGAGACTAAGAAAGGGCATTTTGCCAAAGTAAAGGGACCAAATTAAGGTTTTAATCAATCAATTAAAGATGTTTAGCGCTTGGTTAGATGAGTGGCAACTCTTCACAGATTCATCTCCTAGTCAGTTGATAAATGCCTCCTTTTTTCAAGATTATAAGGTCAATAACTAAGAAAAATGAGATAGGGAAGTCAAAGAAATTTGACTAAAGCTTGGAATGCTAGAGTGCATTTGATGAGCTCAAACATTACCTTAGATCATCAGCTTTATGGACCAAAGTTGGTGATGGAGGGATTCTTTATTTGTACCTTAGGATATCCAATGAATCAATAAGCTTTGTGTTGGTATGAAAGGAAGAATAACAATAGAAGCTGGTCTATTATATTAGCAAGGTGCTACAAGGAGCTGAGCAGTGGTACTCAATTACTAAGGAGGCAGTTCTTGTAGTTGTTACCTCAAATCAGAAGTTAAGGCGATACTTTTAGTCCTACCCCATCATTGTGCTTACAGACTAACCTTTTAAGCAAATTCTTCAAAACCAAAATGCTTAGAAAGGCTAATCAAGTGGGTAGTTGAGTTGGGGGATTTTTTCTTTTTTTATGAATCAAAAGTGTTATCAATAAAGAAAGTACAAAGGGTACTCACCCATGCATTACATCAAAAGTTCAGTAAGAAATTAAAAATTAGCTGCACAGTGGAGTGGGAATTGACACTAGTCCACGAAATTGAACTTAGCATAGGTAGAGTTTCCTTTGATCCAGCAAAAAGTTTTAGATTGAATTAAGTCAATCAATCTATTTTCATTCCAAGGTTGTTTTTCGAGTTGGGGGAATTTGAGATAACATTCTAGCAAAGACCTATAATCTAAACTCAAGTATTAGTAGATTTTGTTATTGAATGCATTTTTGGCCAACCAAGAGTAGCTCCTAAAGTTGAGTTGTGGACTCTGTATATTGACAAAGCATTCAATGGAAAAGGCTTAAGAGTTGGAGTAGTCCTCAAACTTTAGCTAGCATCGAAACTCAAAGTTAAGGTAAAGTTTTCAGCCACTCTTTACTGGTGGTAAAGTAGGTGAACTTTATATGTGAGATAGTTGAGCCTACCTTGGCAAAATATACAGTTATAGTTTCCAAATTGAAAAGCCAGTTTAAGAAGTTTCAACTGACCAAAATACCCGAAGCTGAGAATGAACAAGCAAATTTTTTATCGAAATTAGCCTCTACTAGTTCTATTGAAGCAAGGTTAGTCTACATTAAAGTTCTCAATGAACCAAGATTCCAAAAACAGAGGTCAATGTAAATTAGCACAGATCCAAGTACTCCAAGTTAGATAGACTCAATCAAATCCTATCTCTGACATGGTTCAATGCCAATTTATAAGCAAAAAGAGATGAGGTTGAAGAGAAAGGCATCTTAGTATACCTTAATTAACGATATCCTATATAAGAGGTCATACTCGCACTCTTTACTTTGGTGTTTAACACCTTATGAAGTTAAGTATACTTTTCATAAGGTGCATAAAGGTGTAGGTGGAAGCCATGTGGGGGCTAGAACATTGGCTCACAAAGCACTCATGCAAGGATATTACGGGCTGAACATGTAGAAGGACGCCAAGGAATTTATATAACGATGTCTGAAATGCTAGTTATTTACATATTTGACACCTCAAGTAGCTAAAGAGCTTACCAACTTGGTGGCACCATGGCCATTCGCTTAATGGGGGTTGGATCTTTTAGGCCCATTTGTGAAAAGTGTGGGAAGTGTGACACACTTAATCGATGCTATTGATTGCTTCACAAAATGAGTAGAAACTCAACCTTTTTCCAATTTAACATTAGAGAAAATGGAGGATTTTGCCTTCAACTCAATGGAATCCTAAATCAAATTGTCGCTAATAATGGAGTTCAGTTCAACTGCACCTGTCACGCCCCAAAACCCAATTTCGAGACGCGACAAACGCCGTACACTCGTGAGACGGGTCCCACGAGTGCACAAGGCTCGGACTTATCATATCACAATCTGATACCATCAAAATCTGAAGATCAAATTATAAAATTTACTCTGATAACATAAATCTCCAAATACACTCTAGCGTACAAGATCACGATTTATTTCTAAAATCTATATCAATCTCGAAATGGCTAGCTTTCTAACTCGTCACTTCCCGTGGTTTCCCCGTCCTCGGTTTCACTTCTTGAAATGGTGGACAAGGAAAACTATGAGATAAACTCAGTAAGTAAATATGGATAGCCCTTAATTAAACTTATAGCATGCCAACATGTGCAATCACGCAAAACGGATACAGTACGGGAACGAAATAGACGTCTCCTCTATAGGTCACGGCCAGTGTTATAAACCTCCCACTGGCGGGCAACAGAAATTGCTAGTGTTTAATCCCACTAGCAGGATAACAGAAACGAACCGGTTCTATCAATAACATATTGACATGTGCTAGCGTTTATAACTCCCACTAGCGGGCAACAGAATAACATGACCATATCGGAGACAAAACAAGTTGAATTTAACAGGAAAATCACAATTCACAATCACTTTCAGATCATCAGGACGGTCACTTAAATTTCAAGTAGGCATGCTCAATTTAATGAAAAGCATAAAACATTTCACTTCAAATCAGTCATACTTGTGTAAAACGGGTTTAGTCCCGCCACCACTTCAAAAGCAAATCAAAACATGCTTTTAAAACAGTACGGGCATTACCATAAATTTACTTACCTCACTCGCATAAAACCGAGCACTCAATCTCAGTGCTAACTGACAGAACGATCGGAAACCTAATCAAAACACCTCAGAATTAATATCGGACTATCACACATTCAAACTGAAATCATCATTAGGATCACTCCTAATCACAATGCTATTTCCATAAATCTCCACATAATCAAATATCTCCAAATTCGTTCTTATATCACAAACTAATCACTTAAATCCCCGTTAATTGTTGGCCCTCGGGGTGTAAACAGTAACCGGTGAACAGTGCTGGTGAACAGTGACCCCGACGTGAACAGTAACTCCACTCCCACAAATTGGCCAAAACACTAACTAATCTCACGGGATTTTCCTCCAAAAATCACATAGCAGTCCATTAACACTCAATCATATAAATTCCACTTGAATCAAGCTAAATCATGGTCTAATTACTATCAATTTCATCCCCATTTTCTAGCCAAACTCAAACATCACATGACAGCAAACTAATCAAGCTAATTCTACCATAATCAAGCTTAAAAACAATGGTTTAAGGCTGCCACATACCAGAATTTGCAAGCAAAAATCGGACTGCAGGTTGGGGAAGGGCCGGCGGCATGGAAGAAGAAATCCTGCAGGGAACCCACAAGTTTTACCCCAAAATTAAAGGAACCAAGAGCAATTAAGGTAAACCCAAGGCAATTCAAAGAAGAACTAAGGGATTGGTAGCTGTTTCTTACCCAAAACCGAAGCAAATCACCCCCACAAAGCAGGAGCAACCGGCGGAAGGACAGAGCAAAGCAGAGCAGATCCGGATTCTACAGAGGGGTGGGGGAAATTTCTGGGTTCTACATGTGTTGTAGAGCAAGAAAAGAAGTAGAAATCAAGCTTATCTCACCAGTTTCTCAAAGGCTGGTGCCGGGTTCCCCTTTTTTTTTTCTTCGGGTGGCTGCAGTGGGAGGAAAGGAGAAGAAGAGCAGAATCGGGCAAGGCTATGAAGAAAAGAAAGAAAGAAAAAGACAAAGAAAAGAAGTCATCCTTATCCAAAATCTTTCCCTCTTTAAGTCCCTCAACTTTCAGAATATTCACATTATGCCCCAAAACAATCTTTTCTCACAATCAAGTCCCTAACTTACACTTAAATATTCCCGAAAATTCGGGGTATTACAGCACCTCATTTAGGGAATTCGCTTTAGTTATGAGATCAAGCTAAAGTTCACTTAGGTTTGTCTTCTAGAGGCAAATGGGATGACAGAGTTTATTAATAAGGCTATTCTAAAAGGAATTAAGCTGAGGTTAGATAAATTGAAGGCCAAGTGGGTGGATAAGCTCAACAATGTGCTTTAGGCAAATTGAGCTATGAGCCAAACAGTCGCAGGTTATTACACTTCACTCTTTTGTTCTATTTCATTTCGGCCTTCTATCTATCTTGTTTACAACCATAAATCAAATATGCATAACATGTAAAGTGAATGCTGAAATCTTGATTCATTCAACTAGGTGAAATGTCCTACCACTTAGCTTGTGGAATAAAAGCAATCATCCTTATTGAGATAGGAGTCCTGAGCTTAAGGGTTAACCATTTCGATGAGGCACGAAATGAACAATTGCTTTGAGAAAACCTTAACCTGCTTGAACAAGTTTGAGAAAAGGCTTAACTTCAAACCTTATCCTATAAGTAAAAATTAGCAAACTTTTACAACAAACAAATCTGAGCTCAAACATTTAGAGTTGACAACATGGTACTTAAGAAAGTTGCGCTCATAGGGTTTAAAACTTACTTTAAATTGGAAGGCCCTTATATAGTAATTAAGATCCTACATCTGGGGCCACATATACTTCATTATGTCGAGTGTAAAAGAGTTCCTTAGATTTGGAATATAAATAATTTAAAGAAATTATACCCTTAAGCTTTTATCATTCCAATTATTTTGTACATCATCGATCTCGATTCAACTTTTTTTGTACTTAACATTATTATTCACAAATTCAAGAATCTCCCTTTGAACTAACCTTATACATTTGAGGTAAAAAATTACTATAGTTTAAAAGTGTTGCTATTCACACTAAAATAACTAAAATATCCATTAAACACATTAACTAAGTAAACAAATAAATAAATTGAAATATTAGATTTATCTTTCATACCAAATTGAATTGTTCAGATACAATTAAATCCAAAATAAAAAAGTCAAGTTGATTTCATTCTATAAGTTGGTGTTGCTAGTCCACTTTTTCATTCTGAACATTATACCCCACCTTTAGATCACCCATGACCTCTGCATCATCCTTATCCACAACCACGAACTCATACTCGAGCTTTAAAGGGAAGATGGTATGCCTACTTTCTTCTCGGTCCCATTTGATTGTCACCTTGGGTCGAAAATCAACAGTCTTACTCTCCTCATCTTCCTCCACCCTTTCCTCCTAATGTCTGAACATTATACTAGTCACATCTAGCTCAAGATTGTTGGACTTTGACCTTCTTTCTACAATCGGTGAAAGCCAGCACCATTGTTGGAAGGTGATGGAGGTCCACAATTTATAAGAAAGTGTTGGATTTGATGAAAATGAAATGTGCTACTCCATAGAGTTATAAACTTGTAACTTAGCTTCTCTTCACACCTCAGCCAACTCATTGTCCCTTATAAATAGCTCTTCTTCACAAATTTTCTTCTTTTGCTTAGCAAGCTCTGCTGCTTTCTTCAAGGCAACCACCTCTTCCTTGAGTTTGCCTAACTCAAAGGTCAAACTATTGAAATTATCTTGAGCTGCTTCCTTTTACTTGCTAAGCTCCTCATTCGCCTTCAGTAGACTATGTCTTTCCTTGAGGCAGTCAACATCATTATTTGACAAGGCATTTACAAGGTTGGCTCCCTACACAAATTGTTGAAGTAAAAAAAGAAAAGAAAAGAAAAAAAGATCTACATAAGAAATTTTCAACAAATAACCCCTTTCCTCAAGGATGTGGCGGACCATTCTAAGCTTTCCATTAAGGTCTACCTCATCCTTGGTTTGTTTTAGATCCGTCTTAAGAAAGGTAGTGTTGATGAGACGTTTGGTGATTGTTTTGTTGGTAAAGGTGAAAAAGCTATAATTTTTCGGATGTTGAACTAGAGTTGGGAAGCTTTTCTCCTTCCCATGCATAACTATCCCTACCTCCTTCATGCTACAACCACTGATCACTACTAGGGGATGAGGTATGAACTCAATGGGTACCCCTTGTTGTTGTTGTTGTTATTGTTGTTTTTCCAACCTCCTCCTTTTCTAAGCAATAGCTCGTTCCTTGGCCCTCTTTCATATGAGCTCAACATTGGGCCTTATAGCTTACACTACAAATGCGCCAACTATTGTAGCTCGAGTGGTTGCTGCAATTGGTTGGGTTCCTAAGGTCTTAGTTGTAGTTCACTCTTCCACCTCAACCATCATAGGAGTTTTGGACTTCTTCTTAGGCAAAGTGGCATTCCCAACAATAGCAAAAAGGCGATTCATTTCAGCTGCAAAACAAAGGACAGTTAAAGTTCAATCAGACATATGTCTTCAAATAACAAAATTAAATAAAGCACAGCTCCACTTAGTCAACACATTCTATAAAGCTTGGTAGCATTAATCATTTCTAAGCTTGTTAGATAATTGATGCCTAACACATTGACACCCTCCCTCACCAATTTGTCCACCTGCCTTTGCTCATCTTCATCCAAACTATATTTATTCAAATTTGCCTTCTTAGGTTTCCATTGACACAAATCCTCCACCTCTTTATTAGATCAACCCCATTCTATATCATCAACAAAGAAGAATTTATCCTTCCATCCCTTGATGGAGAAAGAACCTGAGAATAGGTTCCTACTCTTTTTATTGGATACTTGGGTTATAAAGTAATACCACTCTTTTTCCTTATTGCTTTCAGCCTTTATCATAAAAATATTTAAACACATTCAGGGTTAAGAGGACCACACCCTGAGCTCGACAATAAACTAATAATGCTACCATCAATTGAACTACATTAAGGATGAGTTGCGTGAGGCCCAAGTTGTAGTCCAATAACAACTCGATCAGTAGCTCAAGAAGAGGAAATCTAAGCCGAATTGCCAAAGAGGCATATATGGGCATCCAATGATCACTTGGGGCTGAGCAAGCCCTCTTTTGACTTCCAACTAGTGTCATCAACATGTGAGATGGGATCCCATAATTGTTCACCTAATGTATTAGGTTGTTCCCACTCTTCTAAGAGGCTTCACATCCCATCACCTCAGACACGATTTCGTCTAACTCATCAAAATGCTTGGATCGACTATCGTCAGCCTCCAAGATTGTTGAAGGAATCCTCACCCCCTTCTCCCACTCACTCCATCCATCTCTATTGGATTCCACCTTAACATTTTCATCACCACCCTGGCAAATATGTTGAACTTCTTCACCCCCTCCAATACTCAATATTTCCTCAAAGGACATTTCTTCAGTTTCATAGCTCTTACTACAAGAAATTGGTAGGGGAAATAGTTAGGATCCTACACTAGCTCTTACGCTTTACCTCACTTTCTGACATAACCTTAACCTGCCTAAGTAAACTTAAGCTCAAGTCTAAGAGAGTTAGAGGTATGTCAGACTCCTAACTTAAACTAGAAGCAAAACTCATGAAGTTACCATATCTTAGTGATACTAAAGTCCAACACTTTGCCTGTAAAACCTTGTGGCAGGTTGCTTGGCTCGAACACGGAGAAACTTGGACACTACTATAGCTTTGGTGAAATTTTAGCAACATTTCAATAGTAATAACACACAGTAACTCAAAATACCTAAGTATGCCTATTTATACCCAAGCTCCAAAGCCTTCAACGGCTACAATCATTTCCATCTAATGGTTGAGATCGCACCCTTTTGAATTTGATAGTTATTTCCAATTGTGGTAATTTATTACAACACGTTCCCTAAAAATGGCTATCACCTGATGAATTTAATTGTTTTTCGACAAGTCAAAGGGGCCCATTTAAGCCTAGCCCAAGCATTATAATTGTATTTTAAATACTTATTCGCATAGGACCATGTGTCATGAATTTTCATTTCAGCTATAGGCACAAATAAATGACCCTGTGTCATGAATTTTCACTTCAGCTACAACCACAAAATACATAACCATAGGTCATAAATTTTTACCTTGGCTTCAGCCATAAAATGCATGACCTCAATTTTTACTTTGATTTCGACAAAATATGCAAGACCTTTAACCAACTCACTCTTTGGACAACTTCACATCCTTATTTTAACGCCATCATTTATAAGTGATTGACTTCAGGGGGGGAGTAGTGTAAGTGTAGGTTCGAGATCAACAATCTCGGACATGTTTAGAGCATATTAGTGCCATTCTCTTGAATCAACTGTGAGCTCTAATTGCTCAATGATCAAGGCACCATTCTCTTGTATCAGTCTCGAGCTCCAATTGCTTAATGATCAAGGTACAACCTAGGTTGAGCTCTTTCCATTGCACAATAGCTACAGTAAATTTGTATTGCTTAATCTTTATTTTTGAGATGTTCACTTTGATTTCCATGATAGGCCTAGAGTATTTTGCTAAGAAGAACACGTGGACACCCCATTAAGGCCTATAAATACCCCCCAAGGGTCCCTTATAAGAAGTAATTGAAACAAACCTAGAGCTCTCTTTCCATTCTTCCTTTGAGTAGGGTCTAGTTGAGGACCAACCTCAAGGCTTTATGAGTTTGTTCAAAAAGGAGACTTAGACTGAGAAGAGCTTGAAGGTTTGTTGCAATTACAATATTTAGAAAATAAAAATAGTGTTTAATTTATCAACTTTTTAATAAAATTTCTTCACATGAGTTAATACTAAAATTAATGTCAACTTTTATATTTTAGTGTTTTAAGAACCATACCAATTTGATTGGTTTGACTAGCTAAACCATATCCAATCACAATTTTTTTCTTTTTTTGTATTTATTGTTAGGGTATTCCAACACTAACTTTTGCACACCTTGAAACAGTTTATTCCTTAGGCAATCTTAGGGCTCATTTGGTATAATGATTTTAGGATAATGGTCAACAGTTTTGTTCAAACTGCTAAGAATATATGTTTGATAAACTTGTATATTTTAAAATTGCTACAAATAAGGTGTTTGATAAAAAATTTTATTTAGCAATTTGGAATTAGTGAATAACGATTAAGATTCAAATCGCTAGCGAATTGAAAAAGTTAATTTAAATAATTTTTTATAGCAAACTGTTAGTGAATTGGAATTTTTTAATTTTATTGAAAATTTTATCAATTTTAATTTTTTAAATTTTTTGCCACAATTTTTAATGAGTACATATTCAATTAGTTTCAACTTCACTTTTTTCATCTCTAATAACATTAAGTGATTAATATATTTTTATTTTTTACATTAATTTATCATAAAAATCATATTAGTTTTATAAGTGAAATTTGTTAATTGATGAAATGATTAAATTTTTTTATTTAAAAATACTATAATTTTTTCCTTGTTAAAAATAAAAATAAGTGTGTGATTGTACTATTATAATTTATTTTATTTATTTATTTTACAATTATTATTTTATAAAATTAATAATTTTAATAATAAAATATATAAAGAAAAATATACACTTAATTATTTTTAAATATATTCTTATTAGTCATTTAATGTTGAATAACAATCACTAATGATTATATAACCAAATAATTATATCAATTAAATCTGTTATATATCATCTACTAACCGTTTTCTACGATCTACCATTTACTAACCGTTACCCGCTAGCCACTACTTCTATTCACCACTCGTTATCCATTAAATTTTAACTGATATATCAAACAAGCCCACCCCCACAACTTGTGTATTCAAAGAAATTAATTTTTTTTTTTTTTTTAGTTTTGTACCCAAGACTTGAACTATGAAGTTGATTTATAATATAACACTTTTTTCCCAATAGATCTAACTAACTATTTTTATTTATGTCCTCAATTCATGGCTTAACTTCTAAAGAGTATGAAATTTTAAATTGAAAATCTTAAATTTGAATTTTGAGTTAAGTGAAGAATAATTTGAAAAAAGAAAATGATTATCATTTCTTGTATAACTCATCAAAAGATATATCAAAAAAATATTTTTATTTTATAAATTATTTAAGAGGCAATTTGATTCAACCATGTAATCCATCATTTTTCCCTTCTAAAAGGGTTCCATGGGTAAGTAGAGTTTAAAAATCATCGTTTTATTTTTCTTTTAAATTTATCATAAAAAATTATATTTATTACATTTTTAATCTATGCATTAATATAGCATGGACTAAAAAACTTGTTATATTTAAGTGCCACCAATTTAATATGACTTTAAATTATACATATAATTGTAAAGAAAATGACAATAATATAATTATAATATCACATAAAATTATAAATTTATAATTATAACAAATGATTAAATAAGTGAATATATAATATTACAACTGATCAATCTATAAAAAAAATTAATTATATAATATATATTTCTTTTATTCATTTTTAATAGAATTAATGTAACATTTCTAATTTCTTAAACATAAATTTCATACAAAAATTTAATAACTTAAATAAATAACAATTGAAAAGTCTTTTTTCGTATATAAAGCTTTTTTCAAGTAGTATTTTAATTTAATAAAAAAA